CTGTTTTAGTGTGTGTGCACTGGCCTTTGATTTTGGGTGCTGGAGACTGAACTGAGGGCCCTGTGCATGCTGAACCCACGCTGTTCCGCAGAGCTGCATTCCCCGCACCTCATTTGACTCAACTTCATCCTGTTATTCTGTGACTGAGTCCTGATCTTTATGTCTTGGTAACGGGCCACCACCAGGGATGTCAGGGTGTTTATACTGCCACTCAGCATCTGCTAAAGAATCCTGACTCTGGAGGCCAAGGACCAGACAGCTTGAAAAGGGTGGACTCATACAGGCTGCATTCTCATCACAAAGAGCAAACCTTACACAGCCTGGGGATGCTGCCCAGCAATTCCTAAAGCATATGGATGAATTATCTAAGCAAGGAGGACCCGAGTGGAGCGGTGATCATAAGTGGAAGCTACCCGGGTAAATGTAGGCTGTATCCTGCACTTAATATTTTCAGTAGATAACACAGCAACCAAAGGGCATGCGATCCTAACAACTTACTGCTAGTTTGCCAAGTGTCCTAGTATCCCTGAGGTAGGCATTCTTGGGACATCGACTTAGGGCTTTGGAAGTTTTAGTCACGGGTTTGGTTCTTCTAGTGCCTGGCTCTGCAATGCAGGGGAGCAGACACTGTCCCCATGGAATGAGAGAGTGGGACCGAAGGCTTAGGAAATGGTGGCATGAAGGACTCTGGGACTCGTCTCATGGAGAAATAAGATGCTGGAAGTGATTTCATGGTAAGTTGAGGACAACAAAAAGACTCCATCCAAACTCTGTCCCCCTCCAGCCTGCCTGTGAGACTTAGTGACACAGCGGGGTGAATTCGGCTGCCTCCTCTCCAGCACTTCCCTGGGTCGTCACTGCATAAAGACAGGAGTTTGCATTAGATGCCTTCTCGCTAGAACATGTGTACTTTCTCTTCAAATTAAAGGGCATCTGCACTTGTCTTCACCTTTGACCACACAGGTACAGGGTCCTTTTTGAATGTCATGGGGTTGCCTGGTTACCAGATCCTATGAAACTGCAGGTTTTGTCTTGCATCTCTCAATTCTCAATGGGGTTTGCAGTATCAGGAATCTCTATGCCTGAGGGGCTGGAGAATAAGGGCTTTGAAAAATTAGTTCTAGGTCTGACTCACTCAGGAAAAACTGCAAGAACAGCCTTGAAAATTTCTTTATTTATAGACATTTCAGAACCATTTAAATCAACAGACAATGGATTTTTTTTTTTTTTTGACATAACATACTGCGTTTATCTTGAGGTACACATTGGGCCCACTAGATAATGATCTGGAAAGCAACTAACTGCTGATGTGTGTAGTTAGCAGCCCACTGTTTCCCCAGCCAAGAAACTGTACAGACACTTGCAAAATTCTTAGAAAATACAATTTCCTTTTAAGTGAAGGAAAACTCCCCAGGTCTGTGAGTTTCAATTTTGTTTGAGTCTTAGCTGAAACAGTATTCCAAATGGAACATAATATGGAGACAGGAGGGAGGTTTACGGCTAGAGAATTATCAAAGCCCTATTCTACAGGGGACTGGAAACCAAGGGACCTCATCACCGCTAAGCTCTGTTACGAAATGCATGGCTTCCAAGTTGGACAGAGGCGCACAACCCCAGACGAGGTTTGCACCTAGCTTGAAACACACATTTACTCGTTTCTTATTATCACGATGAGGCAAACTGTAAAACGAATCTTGAAAACTCAGAAATGTGACTTGACATGATACGGCCACAAGAATCCTATATTACAAACCCACAGTATAATAAAAGTCCTGTTTCCCCCATTTGCCCTCTGGACTTGATTCTTAGCAGCTTCAGATTTCCAGAAAAGCAATGGAAATTGATGTGATAGACGTATTTGTGAAAGCCTCATGTGTCCAACAGATCTAAGGTTTTTTTTTTTTTTTTTTTTTTTTTTTTTGGTAGACTGCAACTCAAATTGACTGGGTTCTTCGGAGAAATACGTTGTTTCCCAGTTTGCTATTCAGGGTATACGCTTCCAGATGTTAGGCACGAAGAAAGCACTAGGAAAGTGAGGGGCTCTTCATCCATCCACACCCACCCCCAACTTCTCAAGGAGGCACATGGGGACTATGCAGGTGGCTCGGCAGTGTGTGCATGTATGTGACCGGCTGGAATGGACTGTCACATTTCACATAAGGTTGTGGCATTTCTGCAAGATAAGAATAAACACTGCAATTTAGCTGAATGGGCAGTTTGGTACAACTTCATAAATTTGGATGGTGCATGTGGGCTGAGAGAAAGAGAGAAAGTATACACGGACATTTCACAGTTCATAAACTTGAGCAGTTCAACTTAAAGACAGAATGTGCGGGCGTTTAGCAGCTTGTGGACAGGATTGGCGGGTGAATGCTTGAGTTTTCTCTCTGAACTGACTTCGTATTTTACATTTCAGCTGCTTGGCTTGGTTTATTGCTGATGCTCTTTCCTGACAGGGGAGGGGGCAGGAAGATTTTAGGCATGAGTTTACGGATCCCCGAAGATCCTGTGTAGACAGTACTTCTCCACAAGTCCCATGGCCACTCAATGGGCTGTAGGGAGTCTGTCACAAAAGGAGGTATCGTCTTGACCTGGCTGGTTGGAAGAGGCTCCGCTGCGGGACGTGAAAGGCGAGGGCCGTTGCTAGCCTCTGCTCTCTCTCTGCTGGTTTATGGATTCCTTGTCTAGCCAGCATCCTCCACAGACAGGTGCTCAGCTCAGAAGTGGCAATTATGCTTATTTGTGGCTTTCAGAAATGCCAGTACTGATTATCATTAAAAAATTCCAAGTCAGTAAAAGAAAACAGGAGACAGTGAAAGACAGATGCATTTTTTTTTTCCTTCCAAGTGTTGGTATCTTGGGGTGTCTGCTGCATGTTTAGAGGAGGCCGTCATTGCTTCCATCTGTGGGCTTCTTAAAGAGGGACACACTAGTCTCCATAAATTCACCTTCCAGGGACATTTCATGGTCTCTCATGCACACGCACGGTGTTAGCGACTGCGATTAAGAGGGCAGGCGTGGGTGAGCTCTTTCCTCAGCCTTGGATGTGACACATAGAAAGTGCATGAATGCATGACCCCAAGGCCCATCCTTGCTCTCAGGGAGGCTCCAGGATCCCAATCAATACAGACTGGGCATGAGTATGCCAGGACAACAGCAAATGAACTAAAAGCAGATGGATGTTCTTATTTTGTTTAAGGTTCTTGCAAAAGATGGACGAAGACTGTGGGGATGACCTTCACAGTAAATGCAAGCCAACCCTGCAGCTTGCAGCTGAGTTTGAGAATCACGGTCAAACGCTGGAGCTGAAGGCTGGATGACATACAGTGCCTCTACTGTAGGATGTCTGTCATCTGTATTCTCTAGGGAAGTTAATATTCTCAGGCTAGGTTAACTTTCTAAGGAGGTAATTCCTCTCAGAGAGGACTGCTTTCGGAAACAGACTCTCCATGAGTCTTGGTTATGAGAGGGCAGTAGGGAACATCACAGACTCATGACTGACTTCTGAACACTCCAGGTGCCCATTTTTGGGAGGATTCTTTTGACTTACAATGCAGTATTTACATCTAGGATGCATGTTAGGACGGGATAAAAGGTTTTTCTTCTTTTAATGAGATCAGAGATAAGAAACTAGACTAGTCATCAATTCATCTCAGCTCTAAATCACAAGATGGAATTAGGTAGCTTTCTAACGGAAAGAAATAGTGGCATACTTCACGGACTGCAAGTTCTGGCTGCTGGCTCTTGCCTTTAACAGTTATTTCTTTTTTTGGTGAACAGGAAGACATGATAAAATATGGTCAATCCTTCAGGATAGACTGTCTCCTGGTGGCCAAGGAACCTCACCCGAGAGGCTCGGGTGTGATCTTGCTAACAGGATGTCTGCCAAGTTAGAATCTGGGGATAGACTCAGGGACTGTTTGGAGGATACATTTGTTGCTTGGGAAAAAAATCAGGAACTCTTTGAGTTTGTATACCTTTAAAGAGCCAAGAATTAGGGTATGATGTTATATTTTGGAGTATTTAATCACAATTTAGAAAAATTCTTAGACATGTTCTAGAGTTCTCAGAATAACAGTATGGTAATTATGATTAACTATTATTATTGTTTTAGAGGTATAAGCACACACTCGTATGGACATTTGAGGAATCAGTGCAGAGATGTGGCGTATGTAACAGAGAGGTGGTATGTCTGAATCACGAGCTTTCCTAATGCAAGAGGTGTGGTGAGAACTCACACGTGTGGAGCAACGCTTTTCAGATCTCTCACTGGGACACACAGTGTCAGCACGGGCATGGAGGAATCAGCCCTCACATGGGCTGAAACATTAAACACTTCGACAGACTCTTGATTGATCGGTGGAGTCTACGAGGCTGAGCTTCAAAGGCTCTGAGACTTGGAATCATTCTGCCAACAGTTCTTGAGAAAACCCACTCAGTTAAGATCCCCAGGCCCCCCAATGGATACTAGAAAGTAAACAGATGTTATTTAAAATATCAGATTCAAAAATTACATTTAATCATATCTGTGTGTGCTGCGCACACACACATACATACTTATTTTTTTTTTCCCTCTGCTCAATAAAACTAGCAGCAGTTACAGAACAAACGTTAACGGTCACGATTTATGTCATTTCTAAGGATGCCAGGCATCCTCCATCTAAACATGATTTTTGGAAAACGCCTTTTGATAAAAAGATCTCCCCCAAGCATGGAATACTGAAGTGTCATTTCACACCAGTAACATTGTCAGGCACAAGAGTTAAACAATTGGCATGAAGCGAAGCAAGCCGCAGAATACAATTAACTGCCGGACGCCGATTTCCCGAGGAAGGGGACTGACTGCTCACCAGTGTTTATGTCTTTCAGCTTTGGCTGTTTTGTAATAAATACCAGGCCTTCTTGAAAAACTACGGGGGTAAAAGTGAGTTCTCTGAACATGCCTTTAGTTCTTTTAGCAGCTGTTGAATGTTGAGTGACGTACAAGGCACACCTCCAAGTGTTCTGTACAGCGTCTTTATTGATGTACAAAATAGCCTGTTCACCATTCAGAAACGGAATCTGCATAGTAAGACGGTCTCTATCTCTATTTACAGAGAAGGGTTTTTATTTTTTTGTCTTTTTCTTTTTTAGTGCAAAAACATGGATTTGTGTCCCAGCCCACCCCTTCTAGCACACGTTTCCCAGCTCTGTCTCATGCTGGCCACGACTTGTTGGCTATATCTTGGGCCTCCAGCCATTAATAAACTGCATTATTTTCTTCACCTGCAATTTGCTTAGCTTGAAATCCTCCGAGAGGATTTCATCTGTTAACTGAACAAGCAAATTCCCATCGATTTTTTCAGTGACAAAGAAGGCTATGACGTCTTCAGACAAACCAATGAACCGTAAAGACTTGGACACTTCCTCTATAGAGAGTCCCGATAGGTCGGCAGGTGGCTGCCATGGGGAACCGTCCCCACAGGATCTGGGGGCCAGCTGGAGGTGGAGTGGAGATGAGAAAGGGTAAGAGACAGAGAAGATGTCCTGTACACCCTTTCTCACAAAATACTGGTCCTCGGAGAGGTCCAGCGACCCTGCTGTGGGGTCCTCCTCAGCACCATCGATTTTCAGAGGCAAAGGAGATGTTTCAGGGGCGGTTTTCTGTTCCGCTGGCTTCGGGGCTCTTGGGGGTAAGGCAGGGCAAGAGATGCTCTGCTTGGTCATGCCAGCTGCGAGGGAGCTGTCCTCGGAGTTGTCCAGAGAATAGCTGGCGGACTTGGGGCAAGTGGAGACCCCGCCACCGCTGAATTCTGCAGAGGCTGTGCTGGGCGGACTGCCTAAGAGCTCACAGCCATCAAAATCAAAAGGGGCCGGGCAGTTTCTCTTTGGTGTGCCAGGTGGCTTCTGTCTGGGGTAGCTGTAACTCCTGCTAGGGTCGAGCAGAAAGTCACTCCTGGTCTGGCTCTCCGATGCTCCCGAGTAATGGTTGGGCCATGAGAGTCGGGAGGCCAGAGCTTCGGCAGAGGGACTTCCAAATGGGGACTTGGGGTCCATAGAGTCACTTTTCACACGGTTGCAGGGGTAGCAGGAAACGGGAGCACTGTCAGGAGGACTTGTGTCACTTTTTGTGATGCTGCTCAAAAAGCAAACAAACACAGAGAAGGAAATTAGTAAAAACCAGTTTAACCCTAACCCTTGGGAGACAGATACAGGTGGATCTCTATGAGTTCAAGGCCAACCTAGTCTACAGGGCAAGACCCTGTCTAAAAAACAGCCAAACCCAAAACTTTTCTTTATCATTCTTCACAGATGTTATTTTTAAGGCAAAAGGGCTGTAGGAATATATAATTATACATATAATAATTTATATAAAATAAAATATATAATCATCAATAAGTTACCTACTAACTTTTTTTCCTTTAAAAGAATCTGTAATGTTCTTTGTACTTGTGGATATACATAATGATTTAAAATGGAGCAGAGGTAAAAAATAATACATGCACACACATAAATATGTATATTTTAGCTAATAAGAAAGTACTGTGAGTGGGTGCCAGTGTCTTCACATTGAGAAAAATTTTCACACCATACTTTGGTCCAACACTGAAGAGTAAAGTCTGCAGTGGGCAAGGGAGAGGGGCTTAGTGGTGGCAACTGTCTCATACAAGCATGTAAGACCACATCACCACCGTCCATTACTCTGGTTGGAAGAATTGCTTCCAATAAAATGTCCATCCTTGCCTTGGTGTCAAACAACAGAGTTATACAAAGCATAAGGATTTAATGTCCAGAGGACAAAGACAAACAAAGTGAAACAAAACAGGCCTGCAAAACCTTTCAACTTCAAGAGCACAGGTTGAGGGTGCATTCATCCTGGGGCTACAACTTCTTATCCTAGGACCAGACTATGCTGAAAGGTGGGTGAGTAGGCTGATGGGGTGGCGGCCATGCCTCGGGCACAGCAGAGGAAATGGGCATTTTGTTTTGCAGAAGAACTTAAAAGTTTCCTGAGGGAAATGGGACTGGTCTGTTCTGTTTCTCAAGACAAACTACAGTTGAAAGTTACTTAGAGACAGACGAATCATAATTTGAGAGCGCGGAGAGTTCTCTAGAAAACAATCGCCATCTGCAGCAGTGAATCAGGTTGTGTCTAGGAAGAGCTCAGAGCTCCGGAGAGACCCAGACAGGAGCAGCTTTGTGGCCACAGCCACAAAGGGTTTCCTGCTGGACTCGAGCTCAGAGCAGAAGGGAGCCTCGAGGTCCCGTTAGAAGGTACTGTCTGCTCGTATCCAAGTCAAGACGAAAAGAACCAGTGTTAGCTTCTGACAAGCAACAGAAACCCGCACACTGCTTCTAAGAGGAGAGGCCTGGCTTCTCACAGACCCTTGTGGGTCTCTTCTTATCATGACACTGGCTCTTCCGTCCGAGGCCAAAACCAGCTAGGGCCCAACTATGCTCTTCCCATGTACCCTTATGTCCTCTCCCACCCGCGGAGGAGGTGGGTTGCTGTGAGTTCTGGTGGGAACACTTACATGTTATGCAGCCCTGAAGAATAATAGGACAGGGTGGGGCTGGGAGAGCGAGTCTGTGGCCGGACGGGCTTGACTGTCCGAGGGGGGATGGAGGGACTTGTGGACAGAGGCTTTGAGCTTCGGGGTGGAACAGGTGGAGCGTTCAGGAGCCGGCATTCTTCCCTGACCTGGTGTGGGAAAAGAACACTCCAGGTTAGCAAGGGACCCAAATGACTAAGGCGTGGGTTTGGAGACGGGGGTGGGGGGGGTGAGGGCGGGGCTGGGGAGCACAGCTCCATTTTGCAGGGTCAGTAAAGGTAGTGGGTAAGCAGGAGACACACAGAGAAAAATGGGCAAACACAAAGGCAACACACACACACACACACACACACACACACACACACACACACACACACACACACACACACCTACCTACCTGCTGGGAACAGACTGATCTGGAAGAACTGCGGAAATGTAGCAGGGAATGGGAGTACAGCAAGCTTGAGGGATGCAAGGGTGTCAGAACAGATGTGGATGTGGGAAGCATCGAGTGTCAATCATCGGTAAGAGAGGATTAGGCTCCTGAGTCCTGTTTATTTCCCAAATGCCATCCAATCTGACCTAAACATTTGGCAATGTGGACTTCATTTTTTTTTTTTTTAAATGACTGTGTATGTGTAAAGGTGCGGATATATGGATTAACCAGACCAGTACATTGATGTATGCACACACAGATGTGCATGTGTGAGCTGTCCCATGGCACCTGTGTGTGTGTGTGTGTGTGTGTGTGTGTGTGGCAGAGAACAATTTATGGGAGTCAGTTCTTTGCAGCAACCACATGGGTCCTGGAGATCAAATTTAGGTCATTAGACCTGGTTGCCTTTATTCACTGAGCCTTCTGGGCCAAAACGTGGGCTTTCTTCCGGGCTGAAACTCCGTTGAGAGCCATGTCTGGTACCTCTCAGATACTGATGCGTGTGAATCCACAGTGATCTGGCTAAGTTACAGTTACATTCAGGAGATCCAGGCTGGGGTCTGAGAGTTGATGTTCCCTGCCATTTTTTTTAATGGTGCTGAATTCAGGGCACTGTTTATGCTAGACAAATATTCTAGCTACTGAGTTACCACCAGCCCTTCTAAGTTATTTCTGATGCCAGACATGGTGTTGCATGTCTATAATCCCAGTACTCAGAAGTCTATGGCAGCAGGATTGCCATGAGATGAGGTTAGCCAGAGCTAGATAGTGAGATAGATTCTGACTCAAGAAAGCTCCACACTAGCAGATGGGAGTGGGGGAGAAGGGGGGGGGGGGCGGGAGGAGAGGAAAGAGGAGCAACTAAGATGGGAGCAACTGAGATTGGAATGTAAAAATAATTAAAAAAAAAAAAAACAAAAAACAAAACAGCAAGCTCCACACTGTTCTGTTCCCTCTCTCTTTCTGGAAGTCTTCTAACTTGGAAGTTGGCCATGCTGGCCTGGAACCTGTGACCCACCTGCTGCAGCCTTCTGGGCACTGGGAGTCATTGTGTCTGCATCTCCAACAAGCTGTGGGGTGAACGTGATGCTATGGGTCTATGGACCATGGCGTTGCAGAGGGAGCAACAAGGCAGTGCTCCAATCCCAGAGTGGAACTTTTACTGATAAAAAGCTACCCAGTCAGATGACCTCCGCTCATCGCCACACTGGGGATGACCCAGCTGACCCAGGATGCCTGGGGCTTCAGCAAGTGACTGTTTCTACCCATGCTGGTTTTCTGGTCCCTATAGCATTCATTTCTCAATACCATTCTTAGTCGCGAAGCGTGACTTTGGCATGCCCTTCTCCACATCCGGCAGCAGGGGGCACTTGACGCCCGACTGTGCTGGTCCTCCCGGAACCTCTGAGACTCGGTTAGATCAGGAGGGGTTCAGGGTATTTCTCTCACCTCCTTCAACAACTTGTCTTAGGGACAATGGAAGAGCAAGTGCCCACCAGCTTTGGTGGTGAGGATGTGAAGGTGAAATGAACGTATACTTCCTTTGCTGACTGTACACTGGGCTTCCCAGGCCTGCTTCACTAGCTAAGGAAAATCAGTTGGAGAAGGCAGGCAGGTGATCATGAGTTTACCTTGGTTTAACTGAGATGGAAGCAGTCTTATTTTTTTTATTATTTTTTTTGAGATGGATCATTTTTAATGATTTATTTATTTTTATTTTATGTGCATTGATTGGTGTTTTACCTGTGTGTGTGTGTGTGTGTGTGTGTGTGTGTGTGAGAGAGAGAGAGAGAGAGAGAGAGAGAGAGAGAGAGAGAGAGAGAGATCCTCTGGAACTGGAATTACACAGTTGTGAGCTGCCATGTGGGTGCTGGCAATTGAACCCAGGTCTTCTGGAAGAACTGCCTGTGCTCTTAACTACTGAGCCATCTCTCTAGTCCAGAGACAGAATTATTACATAGCCCAGTTGGTCTTGAACTTGGTAAATAGTGTAGGATGACCTGAACCCATCTTTCTGCCTGAACCTCCCAAGTGCTGGGAGTACAGGTGTACCCGCCATACTCACTGCTGGGATTACAGGTGTACCCGCCATACTCACTGCTGGTACAGGTGTACCCGCCATACTCACTGCTGGGAGTACAGGTGTACCCGCCATACTCACTGCTGGGATTACAGGTGTACCCGCCATACTCACTGCTGGGAGTACAGGTGTACCCGCCATACTCACTGCTGGGCGTACAGGTGTACCCGCCATACTCACTGCTGGGATTACAGGTGTGCCCGCCATACTCACTGCTGGGAGTACAGGTGTACCCGCCATACTCACTGCTGGTACAGGTGTACCCGCCATACTCACTGCTGGGCGTACAGGTGTACCCGCCATACTCACTGCTGGGAGTACAGGTGTACCCGCCATACTCACTGCTGGGATTACAGGTGTACCCGCCATACTCACTGCTGGGAGTACAGGTGTACCCGCCATACTCACTGCTGGGATTACAGGTGTACCCGCCATACTCACTGCTGGGATTACAGGTGTGCCCGCCATACTCACTGCTGGGATTACAGGTGTACCCGCCATACTCACTGCTGGGATTACAGGTGTACCCGCCATACTCACTGCTGGGATTACAGGTGTACCCGCCATACTCACTGCTGGTACAGGTGTACCCGCCATACTCACTGCTGGTACAGGTGTACCCGCCATACTCACTGCTGGGAGTACAGGTGTACCCGCCATACTCACTGCTGGGCGTACAGGTGTACCCGCCATACTCACTGCTGGGATTACAGGTGTACCCGCCATACTCACTGCTGGGATTACAGGTGTACCCGCCATACTCACTGCTGGGATTACAGGTGTACCCGCCATACTCACTGCTGGGAGTACAGGTGTACCCGCCATACTCACTGCTGGGATTACAGGTGTACCCGCCATACTCACTGCTGGTACAGGTGTACCCACCATACTCACTGCTGGGATTACAGGTGTGCCCGCCATACTCACTGCTGGGATTACAGGTGTACCCGCCATACTCACTGCTGGGAGTACAGGTGTACCCACCATACTCACTGCTGGGATTACAGGTGTACCCGCCATACTCACTGCTGGTACAGGTGTACCCGCCATACTCACTGCTGGGAGTACAGGTGTACCCGCCATACTCACTGCTGGGATTACAGGTGTACCCGCCATACTCACTGCTGGGATTACAGGTGTACCCCACCATACCCATTTCGAGTGATCTAAAGAGCATCATTATTGCATTTCGTCATGTGCCCAGGGTTCCTGCTCCTGCCCACCGAACCCTCAGTCCTGGCACTGGGCTGGGAAGAAGGAGGCTCTTCATTCAAGCAGCTCTACAAGCGAAAGCAAAATACTTGGGTAGGAGATTTCCTCCTCAATGGCTAGAGCAAGCTGTCTCTTTTGGAGCTTTTCAAAAAAGGTACATTGCAGAAAAGTAGCCCTTATCAAAGCTGTCTTTGCAGCAGGTACAGACCTTGCAGAAAACCACACTGGCCACGGTGCAGAGAACAACTAACTGGTCATGTGGGGGTCCATGCATCCCAAGTGACTGACAGCACAGTCCCTGCACCAAAGGCTCACAAAATATTTCAGAAGATGGAGTGGAAAGATTGTCAGAGCCAGAGGACCAGGCCATCTTCTGTGAGATTGTCTCCTAGAAATGACTGGGAAGCTGTACCCATGATACCTCAACAACAAGGCTGCCTAAACAAGACCCAAACAAGGATAACCGCATAGACACGCTAATGTGGAAGGGAAAACATGGGAAAACATGTAGGTCTTATACAAAGACCTACAGGAAGCTAAGGGTGGGGAGTAGTCTCTTCCGGGGGGGGGGGAGATTATTGATTATCCAATACCAAGATGTCAGCTCTGAAATCATGTACAAGCAAGCAACAGCAGAAGTAATCAGGTTGTATTTATATATCTATGTGCTCATATATATTTGTAACAATAGCAATTACAAAGAAAGAGGCCATGCATTTGAGAGAGAATGGGAAGGTTGGAGGAAGAAAAGGAATGAAAGGAAACGATTATATTTTTATTTTTTATTACATTTATTCATCCTTATTTTATGTGAGTGTTTGGCCTGCATGTATGTATGTGCACCACATGGTACCCACAAAAGTAAGACTAGGGCACTGATCCCCTAGAGCTGGAGTTATGGATGGTTGTTAACATCATGTAGGTCCTGGGAATTGAACCCAGGTCTCCTGCGAGAGCAGCGAGTGCTCATCACCTCTGATCCATCTCTTCTGCCCCATAATTACACTAAAAGAATTAATTAAAAAAAAATTAAAAGGTGCGCTAGGCGTGGTGGTACACATCTTTGATTTCAGGATTTGGAGGCAGGGGCAGGCGGATCTCTGTGAGTTTGGTTTACAGAGAGAGTTCCAGAACAACTAGGGTCACGTATTGAGATCCTGTCTCAGAAAAAGCAAACAGCGATCCTCAAATAAGCAGGTGGTGGTGGTGCAGTGGGTGAGAAAAGAGAGGGACCCATCAGCAATGGGGCCTGTGGAGCTGGCGGGAGTGCTCAGCTCTGACACTGGGGGTGGGGGGGAGGAGGGGGTGGGGGGGTCTTCTTTTCTTAAGAGGAACTGGTTAATATTTTTATTTTTAAAATGAATGTCTTCCTCTCAATATCAGAATCAAGTGGAATGTGAAGAATACGATTAGTGATGATT